CAGCAATTTAATTATTTTCATAAATAATAAAAAATTTCATAGGAATTCAATGTATTTACAAATTTTTTTTATAAATTTCTTAACAATAATTCAATTATTTTCGTAAACAATAAAATTCTTTTTTGGAATTTAATTATTTTTGATACAATTTAAATTCAATTACTTACTCGAAAAATTCTTGGAAATTTTATTAAAATTCGTCGAAAAAAATTCAATTATTTAAAAATTTGTTGTGAAAGTTCTTTATGAAAATTCAATTTTGAGAAACATTCAATTATTCAATAAATTATTTATTTTTATACTTAAATAAATGAATTTTCGTAGAATTTTCTAAGAAAACTTGATTTAAAATTAAATTGCAATTCAACTTTTAGATATAATAATTGAATTCTATAGTAAAGAAATTTATTAAAATTTTTAAAAATAATTGAATTATTTCGAAGAGGTTTATTATTTATTTAAAAAATAATTGAATTTTACCAACGGATTCTATCATTTATCAAAATAGTTACATTCTAGCAAACAATTTTCCTAAATCTTTTGAAAATAATTGAATTCCTGCGTAGAATTTTATTGAAATTATCAAAAATAATTGAACTATTTTGTAGTATTTTATTATTTATGAAATTAATTGAATTCTAGTGAAAAGTTTTATTAAATCTTTCGAAAATAATTAAATTTCTGCAAAGAATTGCATTACAATCTTGAAAAATAATTGAATTTCTACGAAGAATTTTATTATTTACCAAAAGAATTGAATTTTGCCAAAGAATTTTATTGTTCATCAAAATAATTGAATTCCAGCAAAGTAGTTTATTAAAATTTTAGAAAATAATTGAATTTCTGCGAAAAGTTGTTTTTTTTTGTCAAAATAATAGAATTTTACTAATGAATTTTATTGTTCATCAAACTAATTGAATTATAATTTACTGTAATTCCAAAAAGAAAGTAAAAACTAAAACCAAAAAAAGAAGGATAAAAGTAAAAGAAAAAAATGTCTATAACAATTAACAAAATTCTCTTCAGAAAGAGAAGGATAATAAAAAGAAAAAAAATTCTCCACTTTGTATATAAATGTAGACAGAAATTTTATGTTTTTATTTGTTTACTCGTGTGATATGTCAGTGGTGTCAGGGCGATATTTTGGGAAATACGTTTCGTAACACTACCACACTAAACCAGCACTATTAGTTATTTTTCTTTCTTTTCACTCTCTCTTTCTCTCTTTTTCTCTCTCTTAGAGAGTGAAAACCACCTTTTCTTTTAACATTCTTTTTCTATCCCTTTCATAGCAATAACATGCACACACAGATCTTTATAGACTTTGTCTCTCTTTGTGACAATTTTAGATGGTTCAAATCTAAAAATATAACAGGCAATGACTAGCAGCCACTGTTACTTATTTTCGCCCGACTTCCACGTGTTTCAGATGCGCAGAGTCTTCAATTCAAAGGGGTAAAAAAATTCCCTTTATCTCTTAAATAGGGAGATTATTTTCATTACTACTATGTATATCTCATTTCTCGAATAATCTTTTGAAAATATTTTTATATCAATATCCCTTGCCATGCGCTTAATCATGGAATGTCATCATCAATTTGTTTTTTAGAAACAATTTATCATATTTATGACCGAATGTATTATCAAAAGAAAAAATGAGGAAAAAGGGGAATTGTGAAATATTGTAATTATCGCTATTTATTAATTATTAATTATTAATTATTAATTATTAATTATTAATTTACAAGAAGAGAAATTTTGTTCAATTTATAGTTGAAATTCATAGTTTAGTCAAATTTGTGTTGATCGTAATTATCTGATTATCCTAATTTGAATGATTTTACAATCAGATAATTACAATCAGGACAAAATATTTTAATTTCGATTTGAAGTTTCTAAATATGGTAACAATTTCCGAGAGTAATTTCCACTATAATTATGATTCTAACATAAACACTGAGATATTTTATATTTTATATCAAATGTCCCCAAACTTTCAAACTATGTTTATGTTTTTTACTTAATTAGTATTTTCTAAAACAAAAATTATTTTTTACATTAAAGAAATCAATTCTCAAGTAGAAAAATTTGTAATTCTTTTTAAATCAAATAAACTATTTGAACCAATAATTTCCTGTATTTGAAGCAAATATTAACTTGAACCATTTAATTGATTTGAATAAAAATTATTTGATTCAAGTAAACAATATTTATTTGATAATAGAAAAGTAATCGGTTTTTTAGTGAAACTTTTTTTTCAACTCACTAATGTAAATTAGTTGCTCGATTTTCACTAGTTCGGATTTAGAGAGAATAAAAAACACACGAAAAGATTAAAAATAAAAAAAATTCTCAAGTATCACTTAATGAATGTAATGAATAAAGTGATGGTTTGTTAAGTGAAACAAAATATCCCTAGATGCTAAAAAGAGAAACTGTTTCGCTAGACAACGAATAGACTCGCAAGAGTGGCTTTAGGGTTGTGGCTCGCTTTTCTGGCTTGTGTTCGATCGCCAAGATTAGAACAACTTCTATAAATAGTCTGACATTTGTGAATAACGACGGCTCCGAAATTCTCTTCTGTTCTATATACTCTTTTTATACCGCCTATATATACGTACATAAAAAAAAAGATGAGTCCAAAATAAAATATTCACCAAGGAAAGATAAATTCTACAATAATTTTAAAGACACCGATAAATATAGATAAATTTTTTCTAAATTCGTGAAACAAGAAAGAGGGTCAAGTTTAAAACTATACACTTCATTTTTCTTTCTTTAACGACTCATTGAAAAAATTAGTAAAATCCCATCCAAGGTCAATTATTTAAATATTTTTTTATTCTCAACTTGTCTGTTAAACATTTTTTTCCAAGAATTTTTTCCAAGAATATTTAGTAAATTATTTATTCGAAATAAAATACAAAAGAAGAAACGAACAGCTTTGGAAAAGTGAAAAAATAAACTTTTTATTTAAAACTAAAAGAACAAAGTTCTACCGAAAAAGAAACAAACAAAAATAATAAATAAAATTTCCCCTGTTAAAAAAATAATTTAATACTTGGAAACATGAAACAATAATAATTGCCAAATGCAATTCGCGTTTATAGATAAATTTTTTATCGCAAAACAATTCCCCTCTCTTTCTCCTCTCATTTTTACCATGAATCAACAATAAATTATCTGCTAAAAACTATTTGTGGAAACAAAAATTTCATGAGTCATTCAATCGAAAATAGAAGGCGGCCTTAAATGCTCCAAAGAGGCTTGTGGAATTTGTTTATTGATAGAAAAATTTTATGCAGTAGTCATTTTAAAATTCATCGACCATTCAAATGTCAATCATCCTATTTTTATATTCATGATAATCGTCAGGTATTTTTGAACTCGAAAAAAAATCTTTTTTTTTCTTCAACTATTCGTTGAAATTTAACCCCAAAATAATCATGTGAATTATTTATTAAATCCAAACTATCATAACTGAATTTAAGATTCGAAAAATGATTCCGAAACTGAAAAAAGTATTAATTTGAAGTTGCTCTTTGGTTTCTTTTTTCGTTCGGTTAAACATTTTTTTTGCAAATGATGCTGATACCACTCTATTAATATAATCTCGGTGGAAAAAAAAATGATAACATGTGTGCAACGTATGACATCGTCAGAATGGACTGCGCAGTTATAAAACGCTTGAGATGAAAAGTAAACATTTCAAAAATAGAAGGAAAAAGAAATATATTTGATTTGAGTTTCTTTTAAAAAAGCAAAAAACAAATACATTTCTTTTACGCAAAAAATAATTTCTACCTCACAAATTTTCAAATTAAAACAAATTCTCCATTTTGCTCGCAAATAAAAATAATTAATCAAAATGATCATATTCAGTAAATTCAGTGTTTCTACAAATTTCTCCATATAAAATTATAAAATTCCATGATTTTTCCATGATTTCCAGGTAATAAATAATACCATGACAAATTAAAACAAAATTTTTGTCAGTTAAGTCAGGTAAATGTTATAAAAAAATTTTTTGTCAGGGAAATTAAGAAAATTGAGACTTTTTCGACTTTTCTTACAAACATTGCAACAAAATACCACAATTTTTAGTAAAAAAAAAAGTGCAACTTATTTTGATTTTTATAATGCAAAAAATAACTATAAACAAATCTTTCAAAAATTATTTTTAAATAGTTAAACTTTTGTAAAATGTAATTGAAAATAATTAATTCATTAATCATTAATTTTTCGAAATTCAATATTTTTAATATTTTAAATTACATATTTCCAAAAATAATAACATTTCAGAATTATTTTTAACATTTTGGAGACAACAATAATGTTCAAAATGTTTCATTAAAATTCATCAAAAAATTCATTAATTAGTTATTCATAAATTCATTTTTTAAATTATACAAAAATTCTTTTAAGAAATACAATTATTTTCGAAAAATTACATTAATAAAATATTTTTAATTGTTTTGTTTTAATTGTTTTGTAATAACTTTTTAAGATTCAAAATTTACTTTTTGGACTTTTTAAAATTTTTGAGAAATCATAGTCCTGTTTATATAAATAAAATTCTTCAAAAATTTGATCATTTTTATGTCTACTTTTCAAAAATTCTATTATTTTTAAAAGACTTTACCAAACTTTAATTGTTTGGAAATTTTTCAAAATTGAAAAACTATTATAAAAAATTTATTTTATGTGTTTAAAATTTTAAATAATTGAATTCTAGAAGAACTTTTGGAAAATTATTTAAATTAATTGATTCAGAGATGAAGTTTAGTTGAAAATTGTAGAAAATAATTAAATTCAGGAAGGGTTATAATTGTAATTTTTAGAAATTATTAAAATTCATAAATTTTACTCATTTTCCGTAAACATTAATATTTTCCTACTGTAAAAAGAGTATAGTTAGGGAAGGTAATTTTAATGTCAGTAAATTGTCAGGGAAATTGAAAAAAATAAAATAAAAATGGTAAATTTTTTAAGAAACATACCTAATTGATTTGTGTGGTGCATATTGTAGACAGAACCATAGTCCAGGGCCATATGCCCTTCATCCACTTTTTTGACGGTATCCACGGAATAAACGTCCAAACTTCCAGCAACATCCAAATTAAAAAATCCTTTTTTTTCTTTGCTTCACGACACAAAAATATTTAAAATCGAGTCACACTACTGATTATGAGACTAATCAACCACAATCACAAGGGCAAAAAATACACGAGAACAAAAAAATTATTCCAAAATATTTGTTCCTCTTTTTCACAAAAACGAGAAATTATCACAATTTTCACGTAATATTTATTCCAAAGATTTTTAATTAGGCCGTCAATGCACTTTTATCTTGTTCTCACCTCTCTCTCTCTCTCGTGTTATCTGCGAAAGAGAATAAATCAAAAAATCAATTCATTCTTTCACGAATTTGAATGCATTTTTGTGATTTTTTGATTTGCGTAGGTATTTTTTTCAAATTTTCAAATTTTGGTAAAAAACTTTTCTCGCAATTTTTGAATATTCATATAAAGGAAATTATTTTCCAATATTTTTATAAAATACTGAACTGACATTCGTTCGTTTGAACATTCAGGATTTTAGAGAAAAATTATTTTACTTTAGTATTTCGTGATATTAAAAATAAAGGCAATTGGCGTCGTTTTTCGAGAATTTTTTGTTCCAGACATAAAGTGAAGATTCGAAATAAAAAAAATTGATCATTTTCAAATTCTTTTTTTTATTTGACTTTTGTTAAAACCGAAATACCTTAATTCTTTATCAGATTTTTCGAAATTGTCAACTTTCGATTAAGGTCTTTCAATGCGAATAGAAAAGAAAAGCGATTCGGAGAATGCAAGAGATGAGCAAAATATCTTGTTCAAATTCGTATATGTCCATATATATAAATACTTGACTGAAAGAGCGAGACCAATGACCGTATAATGGATCCAGTCACGAGGGGACTAGGCCAACGTTGATAATTGTCATTTCTAAACTTTTCTTTACAACACACACCACCCTTTTTTTACCCACTTCCCCTTATTCATTGTTTTCAAAATATATTCTTTTAAAAAAAAAAAAAAACCTTTACCCTGTATAATCTTAAAAGTATAAAACGAAGTATTCACTTCGAAAAATCGAAAGAATTGCAATAATTAAAAAAAATAAAAAATAAAATGAGAGAAATTCTAATTCTGCATAAAGTTGAAGAGACGGTTTAGAAGAAAGTCGCGCAACACATTGCGAGAATATATATTATAAAGGGACGTTAAACTTTGCACATAAACATAAATACAAAGTTTCTTGAGATTTGTATCGTGCAGTTGAATACATTGTGCAATTGGTATTACATGATCGTTGACATACGCGTTAATTTACGATCGCTGAGACTTTAAACAACGGAATTTGTCTAATTTCAATTTTCAACTCTTTAAAATGTCACTGAATCGCCGCACTTACACGATTCTTGTGTGTAAAATTTTGTTTATTTTCCTTTTTTCTACCTTTACATCTCTTTGTAGATCATTTATAAATTTCACATTATTTTCATCTCCTTTTGCTTTATTTTTCCCTCAACCAAATTCCCAGTTTTTCCCGGTTAGTTGAATCAACTCAAAAATTTGCAACTTTTTACTATTTTTCTACAGAAAGCAAATTGATACTTTTTTTGTCTCAATTTGCTTTCTGTAGAAAAATCGTGTTATAAAATTTTATTCAGATTATAGAAATAATAAAAAATTTTATAATTATGATATTTTCTAATCATAAAGATGTCGAAGAATAAAAAATTTGTTTCTAACGAAAATTGTATATGGTAAAAAATGTTGATTAAATGTTAAAAAGTATGATTTGTGAAGAGGAGACATGGATGCCATTCATTCAGAATATGTGAATTGATCCTTTTGACTTCTAAATGGTTAAGAATGATGTTCACGACACGTCATCGAGACGTCATATGTCTCTGTTTGCCACCTCGATTGCGGGTGGAGAGAATACATAAGAGAACGAGACGCAGGCGTGACCAATCGACGTTAATTTGTTTATCAGTCGGCACCAAGGGCCATTCTATTTTTTTCAAAACTCACTTTCTTCAATTTAACTACAATATATCACGTACGTCACGCGTACATTTAAAAAAAAAAGCATGCAATCAAAAAGTGCATGAATATTAATCAACGAATCAAATTTACTTCGTTTATTTCATCGATTATTTTTTATTAAAAAAAAAATCCTAAATATGCATTCGTTCATTTCAATGTATATAATTATCTTGAATTTTATTTTTTTTATTTGTGTTCATGAAAAAAATATTTATTAACAAATGTTTAAAAAAAAGTCTGAACGTTCAAAGAAATAGAAAATTTTTTTAGTATAAATATTTTTCAAAGTCACTCAAATAAAAACCAAAAACGTTTAAATATTTCAAAACTAGTATTAAATATTTAATATATATATATATATATTTGAAACAAATTATTCTCTAACACGTGACTTAATAATATAAAAAATACATCTCAATGAATATAAAAAATAGAAAAAAAGAAAATCGCGTTTGCGCGTTCAAAAATCACAATACGAAACAGAATCGAAAAAATTAAAAATTGTTCACGTGATATAGAAATGACTCCTTGATGAAAAAAAACTTCAAGTTTTAGAACTAAATATTCATCATGAATAAACCATTGACATGAAAATCTCTTTTATTTTTAATGAATTCCAACCTTGAGAAGCGACCATCTTATAATTGTATCTAATTTTCGAGAGTGATTCTCCTTTCAAGTTATATTATACAGTTTTTTAATCTACAAGCATTTACTATATTATCCATTTTATCCCCCAAAAAACAAATCCTGATGAGAAAAATAAAAATTCCCACAAAACTATTATAAAATATCTTGTCTTTTCTCTTTTGATGAGAATACAAAATATAAATATATTTTTTGTGTTGAGACCGAGGTTGAGACTTATTTTTATTCTATTGATTGAAAATGTAATAACTCGTTTCTTTAAATTGAAAAACATTGATGAATTTGAAAATTTTTGGGAGAAAATATAATAATATCGATCGACAGAAATTTTTCGCCATGGCCCGCCCAGGCAGACAGCGAACCTGAACTATTAGTGGGATGTTGAACTTACTTGAACGCCTTATATTACTGTATACGAGATCTGAAGAGCGCCAACGGCGATTATAATGGTATGTCGAAGGGAAGCGAGGGACCTTAAGTCGCGCTCAAGAGACTTACATTTTCATATTCCGAAACATATATGTATCTACATTATACATTACACTTATTTTTTTTATAATAAATACCCTTCTAAAAGAATTATTTTATTAAAAAAAAAAATTTTATCAATTTTTCTTCAAAATTATTCACTTGCATAATTATAATTGTTATTTTTGTATTATTATATTATTATTATTATTTTATATTTTTTTATTTAAAAAAAATGTCTATCAATCATTTTTCAAAATTATTCACCTGCATAATAATAATTAATTTTAATTTCCTTTCCTGTATAAACGAACAAAAAAAGTATAAAAATCCGAAAAGAATTTAATTACGAAATAAGAGATTAATTCAATTTTAATATTAAAAAAAAACTGTTAATTACTATCAAGACATTTATTTGATCGTTAACCTTAAAAATATAAAGTGTTACAAAACATCTAAAGACAAAGTTTATTTTTAATTATATTATTATTATTTCCTAGATATTTTGAAAAATCCACTATTTTTTTTACATTTTTATTATCACTAATGAGAAGGTATATTTCTTTATAACCACCATCCTATATTAAAATTAAGTAAACATTCACTAATATTTTTCAAAATACGTTAGAAAATGTAAAGAAAATAAAAATAGATGTAAAAAAAAATAAAAATAAATAATTGAATTCTAGAATATTATACCTATAATAAAAATAACAATAATACAAAAAAGTAAGAATCAAATAATAATAATAATATTATAAAATCTGACAAAATTTGAAATAATTGTGAAATCGCCGATAAAAAGATAACAAAAAGACAATATTTACTTAACTAAAGTGGTAAATTAGATTTATTGTCTCAATGATTGATCAGAATTTTGTAATATTTTTTCGTCTCTTCTTTTTATTTGTTTGTCATCTAAATGACATACCGTTCATCAATATTGTTGGAAATTGCATCAAAAATAATTTATAACATCCATTTTTTACGACTGTAGATTCAAATATTATTTTATTATTATTTATATTATTTTTATTATTTTATAATTATTATATTACTAGCAAATGGTATGCGCACGGAACGCTGTATTCTATTTATTATTTTGTAATTTAAAAAATTTTATATTTCAAAATTTTTCATAAAATTCCTTCAAAAAATTCAATTACTTTCAAAATTTTGTAAAAATTATTTTTAAAAAAAACTCCATTATTTTTAAGAAAATTGAAATAAATTCTTATTTAAAACAATTCAATTATTTAAAAAAATTTTAATAAAAGCTTGCCAAGGATTAAATTATTTTCTACACAATTCAATTCAATTATTCAATTATTAAAAAAAATGTTGATAAAATTCTTAAAGTAAATTCAATTATTTTCAAATTTTTTTTATAAATATACTTTTTAAGAATGCAATGATTTTCAGTAGATTAATTTTTAAATTAAAAACATTTAAAAAGAAAAATTAAAAAAGTTAAGAAACAAAGAGTGCCGGAATTATTGATAGTACCGGAACGATTATTAATACAGATTTTTATTATTTTCTTCAATGAACTTTTTATAACAAATAAAAGACCAAAATACGTATATTTAGGCCTTATTAAAAAAATAATTTAAAAAAAAATTAAAAAGCAAACTCTTTTCTATGTCAAATAAAATAGAAATATTTTTTAACGATATTTTCAAGTCTTCGAGGGAAAGTTACTCGATCTTTTAATAATAAAAAAAATGGAAGATGAAACTATATATTGTACCAATATAAATGGTGACCTCGAAAAAAAATTGCTTATAAAATCGCGAATAAGTCTTCCACGATGATGTAACGAAGCATTTTCTTGTGTCACTCGTTCCCTACCACCACTATCTTCTAAAGTACATGAATTTTATTTTTGTACCAACTTACATAAGAGGAAAAATCTCTTTCAAATGTACAACTGACACTCTCGTTATAAAAATATCGATAATATCTCTCTAGCAATGAAAATAACATTGATTCAAAACTCATTTTTTTCCCTCCAAAAAAAAGGTATAATTTTTTTCTCTAATTATTCAATAGTGTGAAAATAATTTATTTGTACGAAAGTTATTTATAAAAATAGTATTTTAAAAAAAATACTTTAAACACAGTTTTTTATATATCAAATTGAGACAAAAAAACGAATCAAATTTT